TTGTAGATTATTTAAAGCTGAAATATATTTTGGATTATAAGATTAATTCTCTTATTTTTTTTGAGAATGAATATTAATTTCTTGGAGATAATAATGATTTTCAGGTACAAGTCTAGATGTGGGGAGAAGAAATGGATTCATACTTTACCCAAAGGTATTTGTATGATTCTGATTACACTATCTGAGCTGCTATCCATTGTTCCATTGTGCCTATCTATAATGCTGAAAGCTTGCTATATTTATAGGGAAAGGTGTCCAGTTTGAGAGTTATTGCATTTGTAGCTATAAACAGTGTAGACAAATTAGAAGGTTTCTCTTTATAGCAATAGTAATCATAAGATATATGTATATAAGGATACAGAAGGTACTTATCTGCCTTTGATGGAGATAAATCATGTTGGTCATATGACAGCTGCTCCATGATGATATTCCTAAAGTGACCAAAGCTGCAGTTGTTTTTCAGTTTGTGGACAGTAACCAAACAAGAATGTTGCTTTCTTCGAGTCTGGGCCAGGATGAGGCTAAATCTGATTCTCCCAGCAGCTTACAAGCACATGGTGCCATTTTGATTTGGAACATAAATGAATCCAGCCCATTTAAATCTGGGATCCTAAAAATGCCTTTTTCAAGTCAGGAGTATCGCCAAATTATATGTAAGACATTTTCTGTTTGTTCCTCCTTATACTTTGCTTTGCTGGGTAGATATATTTTTCTTCACGTGGGACATGTTTATATATATATATATATATATATATATTTGTATGTATTTGTATTTTAAAAGTCTCTTTGTGAACAAAGTACGTTTTTTATTCTTTTACCTTTCGACCATTCTGTTCCATCTTGTCTGTGAGCTACAGTGTTGTTATATCATTGATATAATAATGCCAATAATGAGAGCAATGTAAATGGGAGAATAAATCTTTCTTCTAAGAGCTCTCATTATATATATATATATATATATATATATTGAAAAGCCAATAAAATTTTTATTACATTGTCCTATACACATTATATATTTTGACTGAACTTGTCATCCTGAGGAACCAATGAATTGAGAAGGATAGAACTCAAAATTATACTACAATCTGGTGATTCCTCACACTGGCCAATGCATTATTTTTTCATGTGCATATCTCTAGGTGATACCTAGAAACTTTGGTGACAGAGCTTTGATTTTGACATAAGAGAGTTCTTAAGATCAGGTGTTGTCATGGAAACAATAAGTACATTCACCTACAAGAGTTGTTAGAAGATTAACTAAATGGGTCAGGTTATTTTGAGCATAACAGAAGACTAGTAGGATTAGAGAATAAAACTACTTTAGGAGATAACATATTCCTTTGATCTCAAAGACTGTTTGAAGATATTATGATTGGTTTAATTATAAGGTTTTTATATATTTTTTATAATAAATCTGATGCCTATTTCACATCTAAGCTTTATATAAACAATACTCTTGTGCCAAATAATCACCCAACACTTGCCACATTTTTCTATCCCTTTCTGGCGCTTCTTGAAAGACACTTGGACATTCATTTGTGACTCTTTTTATGGGCATTTATTTATATTCTAATATTGGCAAAACTTCATGGAAATATTTTTAATGCTGACAGATATTTATTTCTAGTTATATTTCTTTAAAGATCTTATTAGTGGTACAAAATTTAATTAGTGCATTAAAAACAAATCTAATTCAAAGGGACAAAAAGAAGAGTTCAACTACAGTAGTTGGTAATGCCAAAAAAGAAAAGTGGAAAAAACATATAGAACAAGCTGATCAGTAATCGCTTTTCACTTGTCATAACTCAATCCAGGAAATTAAAATATTGTGCACACTTTCTGAAAAGGGAAACATGAGGAAGGAAATTCCTCATCCATCCATCAGGATATGTTCTTAGTTTTGAGTGAATCACATTCCAGCTATCAGTTAAAAGTCCTTGAGACAATTTATATTAACTCAAAACAAATACCCTTATGTAAACAAATGAATGGTTTGGTAGGACTTAGTGTGATCAGTCTATATATATCCACATCCGTATATTATTGATATGTGTGTATTTCCTTTCTCATGTTTCTTTTTATTTAACCACTGTGTATAATATCTTTGATCAAGTGATGGACAAATTTTCTCACAGATGAAGTGGAGTCTTGAGGTCACAGTAATGTGGTTTTACAGAAAGATGCTGAGGATACCATCTAAGCAACAAAGTTTTAATAAAAACTGAAAACAAAAAGGACACTTATGTTTAGAATCAGAAAGAGAAAGTTGAAATTTCTGAGACACAAAGAAAAAAACTTGAAAAATTAGACACTCACAGGATAAACTTAAGTCAAGAAGTGCAGATGGAAACAGTAAATAACCTACCTAATGATCTTGTGTTAATTGATGACAGAACAGGTAATTTCTAAGATCTACAAAGGATAGAAAGTTGTGGAGATCCATGGTTACCCACATCCTGAAGAGCTATGGCACACAAAAGAAAAATACTGTGGACATGTTCATGAGGTTTTTGTAGTTTTATTTTGGATTTTACAGTTTATATTATCTGTAGTTACTTTTTTTTTTTATCTAGGATACTATTTAATTAGGATTTATCACAATTCAAGATATTTTTATATAAACCTCAGAAGGTCTAGCAAGGAGAATACAATCTGTGGATTTTGTTGATCCTAATTTAATGTTGCAACTCATCTAGTCTCAGGTGTGGGTTATCCCACTTGACTTGTTGCAAAGGAGCATGCCTTAAGCCTATTTAAGGACATGCATTTATCACCCTAGTCTTTTTTACAGCTTTTCAACTTTGGTGGCATTCAGATGTAGTTGCACATGGGTAAACTGTCCCCAACTTGGGCATGTTCATTTTCATGGTTTTCTCTTTTCACTTTTTTTCATATAAGCTTTCAGATGTAGTTGTATGTATTGTTGGAATGTGGCTGAAAGGCTCATGTGCACTTTTACACATGTCTAACATGTAAACAAATTTCACCCACACAAAAATGCACATTCTCTTATAGCTAGTTTAAATGTTTTTCTATATAAAAATAGAATATAGCCTTTAAGTATTTTTTTCTTTCATTGTAATACCTTTTGGTCAATACATGAAAAAATAGTTGTCATTTGTTTTATATTGTTTTGAGTTTTTTTTTATGTAGACTCACATTAAGTCTACAATTATTAATATGGGATAAAAATATTCCAGCAGACATGTTTCAACCTAAAACTAGCAATCACGTGACACAGGGAATTCTTCATAAAGTACTTACAATGCAATATTCCATTTTTCAAAGATGGCCAATTTCTTCTTATTCATAATCGATAATCAAGTGCAGCCATAGCTTTGCAGCACAGTTGAGAACCTGACCAAATCCATCCAGATATCTTGGTAGGTATTTATTTATGTGGGGTGCATCTTTAGATTGAACCACTGCTGATGTCCTCTGATGATGGCTTATCATGGTTATGTTACCATTGATTCAACTGAGGAAACCTTTCACTCTGACCATTGACTTTTATATAATTTATAGTATTTACTAAAGTGTAATGTGAATTTCTTTTTTATTTTTATAAAATGCATACTTTGTTTCTTCTACTCTGTCTATTTTTTTCATTTTGCCCTTCTTTATGCAAAACTTGTTTCAATTTTTCATTTTTCCAGTTTATTCTCTCTTTCACCAGTTTTGTTTTTCTTGTATCTCTCCTTTTAGACATGAGAACAAAAAGTAATTTATATGTCAGTATATCTCATAACATTAAAATAGTTATTTGGCATTTGTCTTTTTATTTCATGATATATTCATTCCGTTTTCTTATATTCATTCTTTATTCATTTCTTTTATACTTCTTTAAAACACTGTCTTTTTTATCCAATAGTCTATATACTCAGTCTATTTTGCTCCAATACCAAAATATATTATAAAAATTAATATTGTATCTTTGCCTTATTTCTTGCATCATTCTTTTTAAGATTCACCACTTTTTTACTTTCCACCCATCATTTCTTTGTTTGTCCTTCCTACCATTTTTGTTTCCCCTCCATTTTCTTCCAATCATCTTGCCTACTTCCAAAATTAATGGCTATTCTTTTTATACAGACTGAATTCATCTAATTTAATCACCATAAAAAGAAATATGTGATAACATATTTCAGCATTGTTGATGTGCCGTTGTCTTCTCTTCTGGTTGTGCTTTTCACTTTGCCCAACATATTGTTTTCTTTCTTCTCACTTTTCTTGACTTCTGTTTGTTGTCCACCATTTTGCAGCGTATCAAGTGTAGGAGAATTTGAAGATGAAATTGAAGTGTTTTTGAGAATGAGAATAAAGTTTATTCATCTGTTTATTCTTTGCATCCCCTCCTTGATACATTTGTTCATCTCTTTCACTATATTGCATTTTGTTTACTCTTTTCTTTTTATATGCTATTACACTACTTTTTCTTTCTTCATCTTTACCTTGGTTGATTTTGGTTTTCTTTCTTCACTTTTCTCCCATTTTGTTGCTTTTTATTTTTCTTTCTCTCCAGTGTTTCTTCTTTTTGTCATTTCATATTTATTTTTCTTTTCTTCCTTTATCCCACCACATTTTTCTCTTTGCTTATCTTCAAAATTTTCTTTTCAAGTCATTTCTTTTTCTTTTTACTTCAAAGTTTTCCTTTCTATTTATCATTCTTTCATCCTAAGTTTTTATGTTTGCCTTTCTATCAAAGATTTTTCTTGGTGTTTATTTCTTACTTATTAAGACTGTCTTTGGTTTTCTTTGAATGAAACATTTCAGTTTTTTGTTCTTTCGGTCAAAATCTTTCTTTCTCTTTGTTTCCTCCAAAGTCCTCCTTTTTACCAAAGTTTTTTTTTCTTCTTTCCTTTCTTGAGTTGAATTTGTTTGTTTCCTTCCTGCTAATTTTTATTTTTTTATCCTGTTTTTGTCAATAATTTCACTATCTCTTTGTTTTACATTTTACTCACAAACGTTTTCTTCTTAACTATTCTGTCATTTTTCATTTTCTTGTTTTAATCTTTGCCTTTTTATACCCATTTTATTTTCAACCCTTCCTATAATCTATTTCTCATAGTTATCCCTCTCTATTTTCCCATCTTTTCTTTTTTCAAATCAATTTTTCTCTTTTCTTTTCTCCCTCTCTCATTCATTTCTTACTGCCTCACTTTCCTACTTTCATCTTTTCTGTCTTTCACATCTCTCACTTTACTTTAGTATTATTTACTTTTCTTCTTTGTAAGAAAATTCCATCTTGTGTCCATCTGGTTTTCCTTCAATTCTTTTAATCTATTTCTTCTATCTCTTTCACTCTGTCCAGATCATGAATAATGACCTCTCTACAAATAACATTGTCCTAAATGACCCTCGCATAATCTTATCTACTCTTTGAAAGAAAATAAAAAGAAAAGTGCCCAAATTCATGACCCCACAATGAATATGCAGACAGGCATATTTCATGAAGCCAAAGCTCTGCACTTAGAGAAATTGATAGAAACTCAGGAGACTGAGGCTTTATGGCCCACCTGGATGTGAGCTTCTGACTTTGTGCTGAAAGGAACCAAAAAACAAAAGCAAAAAACAAAACAAAAGTAAAACAAGATATATTATCAGACAAGAAGGTTGAACATTACTACAGTAATATCAAGAGTAAATATTACATTAGTTTGAGGAGAGAATGAGGAGAGAAAAGAGAGAGATAAAGAAGCAAAAGAGAAGGAATAGAGTGAGAAAAGCTAAAGAGAGAAGAAAAAGAAAAGCAAAAGAGAGAGGAGAGAGAAAAGTAAAAGAGGTGAGCAGAGAGAGAAAAGCAAAAGGGGTGAGCAGAGAGAGAAAAGCAAAAGGGGTGAGCAGAGAGAGAAAAGCAAAAGGGAGAGAATAGAGAGAAAATCAAGAGAAAATGAAAAGAGAGATTGAAAAGAATAAAGAGAGAAAAGAAAAGGGAAAAGGGAGAGAAGAGGAGAAATGGAAAGAGAGAGAAAAGAAAAGAAAAGGGTGAGCAGAGAGAGAAAAGGGAGAAGAGGGAGAAGAGAGAAGAGAGAGAAAGCAAAAGGGTGAGCAGAGAGAGAAAAACAAAAGGGGTGAGCAGAGAGAGAAAAACAAAAGGGGTGAGCAGAGAGAGAAAAACAAAAGGGTGAGAGAGAGAGAGAAAACAAAAGGGGTGAGCAGAGAGAGAAAAGCAAAGGTGAGCAGAGAGAGAAAAGCAAAAAGGGGTGAGCAGAGAGAGAAAAGCAAAGGAGGAGAAGAGAGAAAAGCAAAAGAGGGAGAATAGAGAGAAAAGCAAAAGGGAGAGAGAGAAAAAAGCAAAGGGGTGAGCAGAGAGAGAAGCAAAGAGAGAGAATAGAGAGAAAAGCAAAAAGGGTAGAATAGAGAGAAAAAGCAAAAGGGGGGAGCAGAGAGAGAAAAGCAAAGGGGTGAGCAGAGAGAAAAGCAAAGGAGGGGGAGCAGAGAGAGAAGCAAAAGAGAGAGAATAGAGAGAAAAAGCAAAAGGGAGAGAGAGAGAAGAAAAGAGAGAGAATAGAGAGAAAAGCAAAAGGTGAGCAGAGAGAGAAAAGCAAAAGAGAGAAGAAGAGAAAGAAAAGGGGTGAGCAGAGAGAGAAAAAGCAAAAGGGGTGAGCAGAGAGAGAAAAGGGGGAGCAGAGAGAGAAAAGCAAAAGGGGTGAGCAGAGAGAGAAAAGCAAAAGGGGTGAGCAGAGAGAGAAAAGCAAAAGGGTGAGCAGAGAGAGAAGCAAAAGAGAGAGAATAGAGAGAAAAGCAAAAGGGTGAGCAGAGAGAGAAAAGCAAAAGAGAGAGAAGATCGAGAGAATAGAGAGAGAAGATCAAGAGAAAGAAAATAGAAGAGAGTGAAAGAAAAGGAAAAGGGAGACAAAGAAAAGAAAGGAGAGAGAAAAGGAGAAGAGAGAGAGAAAAGCAAAAGACAGAAACAAGAACGAGAATAAAAAAAAAACAGAAAAAAGAGCAAGAAAGTAAAAGTGTAACAAAAACTTCCAATAAGTCATCTACTATAGCTGTCAAACAATTCATCACATTAAGAATGCAATAGTAGAAGCAACAGAGAGAGAAGAGAGAGATATATGCAAAAAAGAGAGAAGACACAGGGAGAGAGAAGCAAAAGAGAAGAAATAGAGTGAGAAAAGCAAGAGAGAAGGAACAGAGTGAAAAAAGCAAAAACGAGAAGAGCAAAAGAGTGAGGTGGAGAGAGAATAGAGATTGAAAAGCAAAAACGAGAGAGAAGAGAGAGAAAAGAAAAAGAAAAGAGAGAGAGAGAGAAAAGCAAAAACGAGAGAGAAGAGAGAGAGAGAGAAAAAGCAAAAACGAGAGAGAAGAGAGAGAGAGAAAAAGCAAAAACGAGAGAGAAGAGAGAGAGAGAGAAAAAGCAAAAACGAGAGAGAAGAGAGAGAGAAAAGAAAAAGTGAGAGAAGGGAGAGAGAAAAGAAAATGCGAGGGAAGGGAGAGAGAGAGAAGTAAAAGAGAGAAAAAACAGAGAAAAGCAAAAGAGAGAGAGAGAGAGAAAGGCAAAAGGCAGAAACAAGAATGAGAATAAAAAGACAGAGAAGCAAAAGAAAAAGAGCTAAAAACTCACAATAAGTAATCTACAATGGCTGTCGAACAATTCATCACATCAATAATGCAATAATAGAGCCAACAATATTATTCTCTATAATGGTAAATGGTAATATTAGCCCCATTTCCTTATAAGGAAATGTTCGGCATTCATTGACCTAGCAGTTAGTGCAACTCTCTGTTAAAATTTATAAAATCTTTCTCTTGAAACAATTTTTGAGGAAAATAGGTTTCTCAAGTTCCCTAGCTATTAATGCTCTTTTTAGCATTGATGGTGGTGGGGTGCTTCCTTGCCTTTTGTTTGGGGTGGAGTGGAACATTAGCAATTTGATTATCTTATTCTCTCTTCAAGTTACATGTGCCATTCATTTTAGTTATTGCTGCCATTGAAAATCCTCAAGTGATGTGGTTTCTGTTATCTGGTGCAGTTCTTTGTTTGCGATTCTGTAATACCAGAATTTTTAACCATTGATCTAAGAAAGTGCTTGTATACAGCTGAATATGTGTGTGTATGTATATATATATATATATATATATATATATATATATATATATATTTTTTTTATGTTTATACATTCTTTTTTTATAGATACAAATATTTAAGTAAATGCTCTGTTTATAATAAACAGTATTAACAACGTTTACTGGCCTGTATGTCCGAGAAATTATCATAGAAAATATGCATCCTCCAGCAGGAATCAAACCTGTATCCTATATGGAACCATCATATAGCCTGACGTGTTTTTACCGATTTCGCCACAGAGGAGCATTTAGTTAGCAAGGTTGATTTTACAGTTTTTAAACTACAATCTTCCATGATTCTCTCACGTACAGGATACAGGTCCGATTCCTGTCGGACGACACATATATTCTATGACAATTTCTTGGATATTCAGGCCGGTAAATGTTGTTAATACTGTTTATTATAAACAGAGCATTTACTTTAATATTTGTATCTGTAAAAAGAATTTATAAACATAAAAATGTCTTAAAATTTTGTCCAATTGTATAGATTTTGTCCATTTATATATATATATATATATATATATATATATAAAAGTTTGGGTTTCTGTGGTGGTGAGAATACCACCAATGCCAAATGTGATGCCCCACCACTCGGCTAATAATTAAATGGTAATGAAAAAGTAGTTTTGAAAAAAAAAACCAAACTTGTATTTAAACAAGATGCAAGAACATCAAGCAGATTTGTTTATATTTTGATATTTATTAGTATCAAATTCTGAAAGACATTGGCACTTTACTGATCTTTGAATTTTCAGATTAATATTAATGAAAATTTAGCAAACCTTATCTTTCATGCCCAAAAAATGTTTTTTTTTCCATAACACTGCTATTATTTTTAATGTAATAGAATAACCTGTCATCCCCCATGAGTAACTACACTATAGATAGTAACTACCTATAAGTATCGGTAAGCCATTGGGGTAGCTGGGATTTGTTGAGTATGACTCAGACTTACACGAGAACTACCAACCTTCCAATAGCAGCACTCACAACTGAATTGACTTGTGATGATTGTGTGCATAACTGTTACCTTATTTCTTATTGTACTGGTTTTTTACAATAAACCTTTACTTATTTTATCCACCATGTTTTTCAAGGATATATTCCTATTAGCACAGAATATAACAATTTTGTAATACCTTCAACCCCCAGAGAAATATTTATTTAAAAGATTATAAAAATGTGAACCAATTATAATGCGATATTTATTATTTCCTTTTTATAAAGATTTAATATTTACCATTATGTAAAGAAATATATGTGAAAAGTCTTTTTATTCAAAAATCTTTTAAAAATTATCAAAATATGTAAACCATCTACAATGCAATATTTATTATTTATCATTTTATAAATAACTATGAAAACAAGTTTTTTATTCATAATTTTATAAAAACATCAATGAATTGCTGTGTAAAAGAAATGCCTGGAAAATGCATTTTTTCAAAATTTACATTTAGTTACTCGTTATTTGTTTATTTAAATTTTCATGTTTGATAGCCACATTTTATAAATTTATGAATAAAAAATTTATTTTCATATTTATTTCTTTATAAATTTATAAATGATAAATATTGCAGTGTACTAGTTGCTTCACATTTTTATGATGTAAGTAGAAAATTATTCTTGTAAATAAAGAATCTAATAGTGTTTAATATTTTTGTTGTAAATTCTTAAAGAACAAAGAAAACATAAATTCACTTTCATATGTTTGAGTTTTATTAAAATACTAATCACCACTTTTTAAAAACACCAAAGATTGTCTAGAAAGTCAAGGTAGTTAAAATAATAGCAGTGTCAAGGAAAAAAAACCTGAAAATTAAAGAATGCTGAAAGTTGATGAACAATAATTGTTTTTTATTTGTTGGTTCAGTATTGGATTAGAGTTTGTCAAGATTCTTATTGTTATGGAAGTACCAAGTTTTATTTTCTGGGACGAGGAATTATAATTATTCAGAGTCTGACTAACATCCTAATATTTATAGCTACAATCATAACATTTTTGCTGTTGTGCCCTCTGGCTGTCTTCAGTGCTAGTAACCTCTGAGGAATTTCAAATAGAATGCTTTATTAAATCTATGAAGTAGATTGTTCTCATTCCACTGTTTATGCCTTGGGAGATTCTGGTTAATATTGCTCACCCTGTTTCAACTGAATCTAAGTCTCTATTTCCAGGCTCAGGGATTGAACTCACAATTACTATGCTACCAAATCCACATGCCATTGCTTTTATCTTTTAGCTCCATGGGACAATAGCTGAAATGTTATCATAGCAACAGCAATGAGGAGGACATTAGTCTCACTGTAAATAATAGTGTCTGTTTCACTTCTAGTTTGAAACAACAAATTGAATTCTTCTTACCAAATAATTAATTATTTCTGAAGTCTTTTATCCACACTGAAAATAAAAAGAATATCTGTTGTTTGTGTCTGGATTTTTATCTGCAATAGTGGTAGGTGTGTCTACCTGTGATAGCACTACTTCTGTCATTAAAAGAAAACAGTTTGTCATTCCTTAGTCCAAATAATCAGAGTTTGGAATGAAAAAACTCATTGTTTTCTTTTGGAATTTTTATTAAAAAAATATCATTGTTTCTTTTTGTATGAAAATTTCATAGAAAAATAACTTTAGCATTAAAAAAACATTCCAAAACTTTATCTAAAGAAAATAGAATATTTAATATCCAAGCTAATTATGCTTAACAAAATTCTTTTATTTTTGATTCCAGCAAGCAATTTGTTTGGTTAAAATAGCAACATGGTGATTACAGAAAATAAAGTCTACCGTTCACCTTACCTGGAAGGAAAACAATTTAAAGCTTTACAGAAGATGCAGCTCTTAAACAATGATACCATCTTCTTTATGTGCTACATCCACACAGGGCATAAGTGATCATGGCTCTCCACAATTTCTTATCCTTTGTAGTTCTTAATAAATTTTGTCATTTTGTTATTTCTCCTAAATCCTTTTCTGCCATCTATTTTAACAAGCTCACTTAGTATGTTATGCATTGTTTTCCTCTGTCTCTCATGCCTCAAATCTGTCCTGTGAGTATCACATGTTTCAAGCCCTCTTTCCTCATGATGTGTCCTAGAAATTTCAATAGTTTCTTCTTGATGTTAAATATAAGTGTCCTTTTTGTTTCCATTTTCTCTAAAACAGTGTTGTTGATATCCTTGGATGTGTGGGTGGTGTTATGGATAATGGCTGGGAGTAGTTAATCGAAGAGTCAAGTTCCAATTCCCATTGGGTTCATTATATTCACTTATGTGCAAATACCCTTTGGAAAAGTATGAATCCACTGCTTCCCCCCACCCTAGATATGGGTTATTTAGCAAGATATGCATCACTAAACCATTATTATCTAAAAAAATTCTTACAGACTAAAAATATTTTATGGTTTTAAATAAGCTGAAAAGAGTTGATAAGCAGTAGAAAATCAGTCAATCAATCAAATACAGAAAAATAATCTGATTTATCTGCCCTTTGATTAGTTGTAACAAGAATGCATAGCTGCTTTATAAAACTATCACATGCTGTAATATTAAATAACTATTTATAACACTTAAATGTGATGTAGTGATGGAAAATGTGAAGAAAGGACTAAACATCAATTGCTGAAGACAGAATGCATGATTGTCAGCCAAAGGAACAACCTAACAAGCAGATTACAAATTGAAGATATCAAAACAAAGCAAATACAAAAATTTAAATATATAAGGAAGTGTTTTAAAAGAAAGAGTGACACTAAAATCTGAAGGCACATTGGAATAGCAAAAGTTGCTTTGTAAAAGCTAAGCAAAACATTTTAAAAAAAAAGGAGACTTTTATGAAAAGCAAAGAAAAGAGTACTGAATTTTTACATAATATCAGTCCTCCTATATGGGAGTGAATGCTGGACAATCTACACACAAATTAAGAGACTTGAAGCAACAAAAATGTGATTCTACAGAAGGATGCTGAGAATATCATAAACTGAACAATGACAAAGTTTTAGAGAAAATGGAAACAAAAAAGGCTCTTATATTTAACATCAGAAATACATAGTTGAAATTTCTAGGACTCAAAAATGAAGAAACAAGGCATCAGAAAATTTCATACTCACCAAACATGGTGAACTCAAGGAGTATAGAGGAAAACGGGCTACCTAACAAGCTTGCATAAATGGTTGACTGAAAAGGGTTTAGGCTAAATAGTGAAAAGATAACATTTACTAAGAGCTACAAAGGACAGGAAATTGTTGTGAGCCATGATCGCCAACCTGAAGGGACATAGAAGATGTTGGTTTTAATCTCATAGGAATGGCTGCAAAATCTTACCTTGCCCCAATTTATATGGTTGGATTCCTTTCTAGCCAATAACATAGATCAGGTCTCAGTTTCATCAAACTTAGTTCTGTTCTTTCTTGTCTTGATGCCAGAACGATGTGATTGCTTTTCTGTATCCCCTTTTTGTATTGAAACCATTCTATGTTTGTGAACTTTTTGTCCTATGAATGTTGCTTTACCTTGCATATATTGTTTGCTTGCTTAATATTATTTTGCCCTGTTCTTTTTTTTCTCTTGTTATTGTTTATTGCAAACTTTGTCAATTTTGTTTGTTGGGTATTTCTGCCAATTACATTTAACTATGGTTAATTACTGTACAGAATAAGTAAAAGAAAAAGATTGTCTTTCTTCTACAGACTCAATATATCTTTTTGTTGGTGTTGCTAGTCTATAGCTATTTCATAGCAGATGTTTACATGAGTTACATCCTTAAGTTTCACCATTCCATACTTTCAAAGCCAGGACCTACCAAACCATACGCACAATGAACTCATCTGCATTCCCTTCATATTCCATTGGTAAGGAAGAAATTCTACTCGGCCAATTTCTTCCTCAGAACTGTGATATTGTGGAACTGACTCCTGAGAGGATGCTTCCCTGATTGCTATTATTTTAATCTCTTCAAGTCTAGAGTCAACCATTATAATATTCACCAGTCTTATTCACTCATTTGTCAGTTTTTAGTGTAACATGTGTGCAGGAACTAGTAACCACAAGTTATGCCCCTTGATACAGGACTTACCTGAACAAGATTCTAACATGGTGTGAAATAAAAAAAAAAACAAGAGCTCACCACAAGACCCAGACACTATACATATCTTTTGAACATGTGAACTGGGAATAAACAACAATCAAGCAGATCTTGTCTTTCATGCTGAAACACATAAAAATATTGCAGTTAGTCTAGTTCAGAGGAAGAAAATATGTGACTTTTCAATACTACAAGACCCAGGGATTTAACATGGAACCCTATATGTTTTAACCAATACTTTAATCTACTATGTCACGTGTCAAAAGAAACAGAGCCTAGTAAATTAAGCCATTAGTTCAATCTTTGGATCTGGTAAGGCTAAAGAGTTTTATATTTGGGTTTATTGGAAGAAATGAACAAACCCCACCAAGGGGAACGTGACTAGTGCATATAAACTGATACAAGTTATCTCCCCTAAGCATGGAAAGCAGAATGATAACAATCTATGCCCATGGATTGAACAAATGTTTCAGTTCAAAATTCCAACAAAGCTACAAGACAGACATCTGAAGAAGGACACAGTGCAGAACACTGTTAGAACATCCACCAAAATGAGCATGCATATGAGAACATACCTTTGCATTTTATAGAATTTAAGCTTTTAGAAGAGTTTAGCTATTATACAGGCTGTTCCATAATTTTCTAAACCAAGTAAAGGCATTGTTTTTTTAATCAGACACATTAGATTTTCTGTGAGAACATGTTTTGTTATTTATAATCAGATTAGTTTACCTATGCCAAATTTAAATATGTCATAAAAATGACAGCATAATTGGTTAAGTCTTAACTATTATTAGAAGATTTTTACATGTGAGTATTTAAAGATATATTTTTCCAATTGTTCTCTACTCTCTGGATTGAGTTGGTATTTTCATTTACTTTCTTTGTAAACATCTTGGAAAAGTCAGCCATTGTCATGACAAAGACAATGGCTAAATTGTACAAGGGAGATAACTCTGACAAATAAAATGTTTATCTTTAGCTGATACAAGTGTTGATCAATATGTCCAGAACATGTGATTATAGCTAAAATGTGTTCTGAATTTTTCATTGTATAATGTTCAATCCATGCAATTCATATGGTAGCACTGGTTTGAGTGCACTGACAAAAAAAAGGAGATTATTTGGAAAAATATTTAGATAAAATCCTTTCTCTTCATTGTTAGACTACAGACTTATTGATTTAGCATCATGATGAAGCTTTGATTGATTTGTTAAACCTCAAAAAATTTTGTACTTATGAAATCCATATTACATATCTACAATAAATTTATTGCCCATAAATATTGTATTTTTTTTTATTTGTTGGTTCCAGTCATAAAGGAATGACTGCAAAATACTTCCCCTTCTCCTGTTTATAGGCAAAGCTACACAAATGAATACTGGGATTTCTTCCTAGCCAATAAGATAGGTAACTTAATTCTCATCTGACTCAGTCCCGGTCTATCTTGCCTTAATGTCAGATGGCTATGTTTAATTATTGGAATTTGCTATTGTGTGTCAGCACATATACTTAGTTTATGAACTGTTTACTTTATTACTGTTGCTTTTTCTTGTATATAGTGTTTTCTCCATATTATTTTTTGCCCTGTTCTTTTATTTCCATTGTTTATTACAAACTTTGTCAATTCTGTTTGTTAGGCAGTTCTGCCATTGACATTTAACCATGGTCACTTACTCTACATCATTGGTTTCAGAAAATTTTTAATCAAATTTTAAATGTTTATATAAAGGGTGTTCCAATAACTGGAACCGATTTTAAATGTGAATTAAGTGTGTGTGTATATATATATATATATATATATATATATAAAAAGGGTATTGCAATAACTTGAACCAATTTTAAATGTGAACTAGATTTAAAATCAGTCCAAGTTATTAAAACATCCTTTATTTCAAAATACCAGCAGTATCAAATCAAGAACCATTTGAATGAGTATTTAAATTAGAGTTTATTTACAGTAATTACGAGCAATCACTAAAAATAAACAATGTCTGATAACTTAATGCAAATAGTAAAAACATTCAATGTTTGTTCATTAATTGGTGAACAATAATAATTAAATAGACAGAAAATAGACTTTATTTAATTCATATAAACTCAATAAAAATTAAATAAAAAATATATTAACCCCTGAAAGTATACACATAGTCAAAATTGTGTTCATACAACTGAGCAACTATTCTGTGTCCTTGATGTTGTTAATATACTAACATGTTTAAAGTCATGGGATGACAGGATGCAAAGTTAATGGTAGGTGGTGCCAATATACTTTGATGTCAAAGAAATTCCCAGACCTTTATCACTTGGGGAGTTAATGTAAACCCCAGCTAGGACTCATATGGCAAGATGACATGAATTATCAGTGTTCAGACAAGATGCTAGGTACCAAATTTTGTGAAATTGAGGTGACATTTGGTATTGTGTTGTATGGTGTCATGTATGTACTAGGAAAACTTGATAGAAGACATTTACCATTCTTTTGACAGTGCAGTGGCTGACGACTTGTCTTTCATCATGATCGAAGACATCTGCAGTAGCAGAGAAGTGAAACTGGCTTAAATCATATCCACATTCAATGCAAAAGTACCAGATGTATGCCCAGCAGGTCAGTGGAAGTAGATAACACTTGTTAACATTATAGGAACATTATCCCTAACTTTGGAAGAATTAATTTTTATCAGATAGAAGACACACACAGATACAAGTCCACAAAATATTAATACACCAATAAAATCACACAAGACAAACACAATCTTAATAATTTTTGGACAGGTCACATTTGAATGTACACATGTTTACAGTAATAACCAGTTTTTATTTTGTATCTATCATGATTTTAAGTCTATAATGAATATATAAAGAGAACATTTAAAAATAATATATTTTAAGTATTTAATATAAGGAAATACATGAATGCATAATGATAAAATAAATGATCTGCATTTAGAAAGAGAGATAGATGAGGGGGTGCTGAAAAGTACACAGCCCAACTACAAAGTGATTCAAAAACATTCTGGTCATATTTTGTGAACTGGATCTGACTGAAAACTTTACAGCACCTTCTTGTATACATGATGAAAATATAGTTTTACGGTAGGCTATATTAATGGATGAAAGTGCTCAGTGTCAAGGATAGAGACTGTGTAAATATAAATATGGACACTGCTGACAACGCTGAGTGGTCACAATTTGTTTTCTGCTTAAACACAACACAAATAGCCTCAAGATTGCATTCAATTAATAAATATCTTCTTTTATGTGCAGTGTCCCTTCAGGATGTAGGCAATCACAGCTCTCCACTATCTCCTATCCCTTGAAATTCTCAATAATTTTTGTCCTTTTTGTTACTTCTCCCAGAACCTGTTCTGTCATTCACTTGCTTAAGCCTTCAAGTTATATCATGCATTGCTTTCCCTTGTCCCACTTTATATCTATTCACCCTGTGAGTATCAGAATTTCCAAGCCTTCTTTTTCATCACATGTCCCAGAAATTTCAGCTGCCTCTTCCTGGTTTTAAGTATAAGTTTCCTCTTTGTTTGCATCCTCTCCAAAACCTCATGTTCTGCCCATTATTCTTAGCATCCTTCTGTTCTAGACCTCTACTGCCTTGAGTCTCTTCTTCATTGTTGAGGAGACTGTCCAACATTCACTGCCATACTGCTGCCAATTGCTTTGACCTCAATGTTCACTTTTATATGATTATATTTTAATTAAATTTCCAATGAATGGTTGCTGACTACAACTAACAGTTTCATGTGTTTCTATGCAGTCATCAGGTAGGCAACCTGAAACTATTAGTTGTAGTCCACCACTGTCCACTGGAAATTTAATTTAAAAATATTAATACACTCCCAGTTAATAGGGCATTGAGATTTACTTCTTCAGTGTACTTTTGTAGCAGACTCTCTTAAGAGCTACTTACTATATATTTTAAGACATTTTCATGTTTAACATTCTTTTTATAGATACAAATATTTAAGTAAATGCTCTGTTTATAATAAACACTATTAAATATTCGTCCTCCGACAGGATTCGAATCTGTATCCTATATGGAACCATCATATAGCCAGACTTGCTTTTACCAATTTTGCCACAGAGGATCGATCAGTTAGCAAAGTAGAATTTACTGCTTTTAAACTTCAATCATCCATGAATCTCTCACGTACATACGTGTCTGCCCATTTTTTTTCTATAAAAATTTCTCGGACATTCATGCTGGTAAATGTTATTTAATACTGTTTATTATAAACAGAGCCTTTACTTAAATATTTGTATCTATAAAAAGAATGTTAAACATAAAAATGTCTTAAAATAATTGTCGGACTTTGTCCATTTCATAATATATATATATATATATATATATATATATATGTGTGTGTGTGTGAATAAAGACAAAATGAAAACTTATCTTAGCTGAAGTGTTTCATCCTCTGAGGGATTTTATCAAGGCAAAATGTGTCAACTAACATAATTTTTCCTTTTGCTTTTATTCATTTTATCTTTTTACAGATATACTCTTATCTATGAATTTTACACACACACTATCTCTCTCTCTATATATAATTATGTACAAAGTTATTTCTGTCACAAGACCACAAACATTAACACTTGTGAGATCTGAACTGATTCCCCAGTTATGGTAGTGATTTCTTGATGATAGTGTTCTCTACCTCTCATATATATATATATATATATATATATATATATATATATATATATGAAAATATATAGAAAATAGGAAGGAACTGGTTAGGTAAATAATCCAAAGTCCCTTAGTATTTTAGTTATTATTTTTAAAAAAATAGTGCTCGATACAAAAGTAGAGCATAATAAATTATTTATTTAAAATATGATTTCCAAAGACATGTTTCAAGACAAGAGTTGAACTGTTCCATCTTCAAGTGATTTCACTTGAAGATGGAACAGAGCTTATTTTGACTCAATTTAATTTAAATAATTATATTGAAGTTTTCGGCCTTTGTCTTGAAACATGAGACTTCTTATGT